TAGGCAGAGTCACTCCTTACATCTCCTGTTTTTCCCACCAAAACTTTCCAAGCTCATTTCCTCAACTGTCGCCCCACGATCTGATAGGCCACTGTGAGATATGTGTTGGTGGTGATACTGACATGAGGTTTAGTCTGAGTCCCAGTCACAGGCAGGCAAGTGACCTGGTCTACCCTTCAAAGGGTTGCCCTGGAGAATTAGCTTCTCTCTTAGAGATGCAGGAAGACGCTGTCTCCTAGGCAAACGCAGAGTTAACAAATGACCCCTTCCCACAGCCCATCTCTGCCACCCCTTTTGACCCCAGAGAAGGGAAGATCCATCCCTGGAATCCCAAATTAGAACTCAGAACACACTTTCCCACAGCAACAGGAGTTATAAATGGTGACTGGGTCCAGTTGTAAACCTATCCACAAGTACATTATCAAATAAATAGATTTTGCTGTGCCTAGCCTGGGAACCCAAACACCATTTATAATCTCGCTTCTATGGGAAAATGCTGTTCCAAGTTCCAAATAGATTGCAAAAGAATTTTCTGGAATGCAACCCATTTGTAAATCACAGGCAGTTTGTATTTGCATTTTGACAAGGGGGTCTTAAAAGGTTGCAAATGTATGATTCCAATTTGTAGGCTAGGGGACAGGGATGGCTGGGCAGGTCCTTAATTATCTCTTCATCCACACTAGGCAGGTAGGCATGGGCCTGCCCCCTGCCCACAACCCCAAACGTTGAGGACAGATTGACAGACGTGGAAAGCATGTAACAGATATGAATTTCTCATCATTAAGAGGAGGAACGTCCCCTCCCCATTAGCCCAGGCCAAAATCTGCTCCGTTAATAGTGCCATTTCCCTGCAGACTGTCATTATCTGAATGAATAAATCCCTGGTCAAAAGCTTCTGAAGCTGAGCAGTAAAGCCCTTTTTTGTTGAAGTTTGTCATGGGCCTTTCAATGTGAATTGCTCAGCTAGGGCACATAAAGAGCCCCAGTGCCTTTAAACGGGGCTATCTCTATGCAAACAGGAGGGCACCGTGCCAAGGGTGGCCAGCAACCCAGGCCAGCTGGCTCCTCACCGATTCTCAGAGCCAGTCAAGTTGCTTGGTTCAGCTCAACTCTCATGCAGGGATGGCCCCCTCAAAGCAGTGGTTGACCAGTGTAATTAAGTGTAATTAGAGAGGTCCTTAAGCGCCAGTGGAGCTGGGCTACTGCCCTCAGGAGAGCCTCTTTCTGAAAGCCTGTTGTATGCCAGCATTAATGCTACCCTGCTGGAGTCCACATTGCCCCCTCAGCGAATGCCCATTACATTCTTCACAGCTGTCTGAAATACAAGCAGCCCACAAGGAGAGGGGGGAAGAGGGTTTGGAATCTGGAAGCACCAGTATTCTTTTTAATTGACCAAAACAAAGGGAACCGAATATCAAAAAGCTGCAGCGCTCCCTCCCCCAGCTCACCGTCCATCCGTGAATGATGAAAAAAGTTTTGGCTGTCATGTTGAAACTGCAGTCTTCTAACTGCTGGCTGTGGCCGAGGGAGAAGTAGCATCCTTCATGCTCTGGGTCCTTAGTAGTGCGGAGGCTAAACCTCACCGAGGGTTTGGCTGAAGGCCGAAGATCCCTGGATTTGTCGAGCTCATCTAGGGTGAAAGAATAGAGTGTGGGTGCATCTGTCCGACCTGTGCTGGGAGAGAGGGTCTAGTTCTAGTTCAATCTAGAACAAATTAAGCCATCTGAGTTTCAGCATTTAAACTGCCTGAATGTTCCCTTTCTATACCCCAGAAGAAAGGTGAAGATATTATAAAATGGACATCTCATCTATACTTAATGAGTATTAATTAGTCATGAGTATTAATAAGTATTATTAAGTCCAAAGTAGTCTCTCTGCTTTTCTTTCTTCTTCCTTATGGGGCCATCGCCCTGCTCCTTTGAGCCACAGGCACCGCCCCAAGTTCCTACTTTTAGAATATGGGTCCTCAATTCTTTTCCTGAAATGCTTGGGACCAGACAAGTTCCAGAATTCAGAAACTTTCATCCTTTAGAAAAGTATCAAGCAACACACACAATATATAATCGCTCCTGTCATTTCAGGTCAGGTTTTGCTGCCAAATGGGTTCAGATCAGGTAAAGCCAGGTCTTGCTGCCAAAAAACTTACCAAATTTTCTCATTTTAAGAGAGTTGGGTGTTTGGAATGGGAGGAAAGAGGCCTTGACCAGTTATGCAATGGGCTTCCCCAAGTGTTCCCATCTTGATTTCAACACTTACTCCAAAGGCCTTGGGCATCCTCGGTGCACCATGTGGTGGTGGACATGTGCCAGGCATTCATCCAGTTTGTTAAATAAATGACTAAAGCCACGCAGAAGCTTCTAAACTCTTTTCTGCTTCACTGCTCATACACACTGCTCACCTAGAGAGAGCCCCATTCCCAAAGTATGGCCCAAGGTCCTGACGGTCTGTGGCCTTTCAACACTAAGTAGGTGCTGACTGTCGCCATGCTGACAGTCATAAATGGGCCCTCCAGTGCACTTTCAGCACCCTATGAAGCACAGCTGCCACCCTGCAATCAGCAGGGAAGGACACCAAATGACCACCCCAGGAGCTTAAGTTATCCCATACTTAGGAAGCAACAAGAATCATGGGAATCAGGGCAGCACCTGTGGCTCAAAGGAGTAAGGCGCTGGTCCCATATACCGGAGGTGGCAGGGTCAAACCCAGCCCTTGCCAAAGAATCATGGGAATCATGGAGAGAGAGACCATGGTGGTGGAGGGGAGGAGGGAGAGAGGGGAAAACACAGATGTATAAGGGATAAGGTTCCAGAAAATGCAGCTAAATGCACATGAGTAAGACTCAGGTTAACTATCAGGCAAGTGATGAAGAGCCTCAAGCAGCAAAAATTTGAACTGTGGGCATAACAAGTTTGACAGCTCCCCAACTTCCACGCAGATAGCCACTCACACGGAGACCAGATGGGCGCGTCTAGGAGAAAAGGAGTCTACTGGCTTCCTGGGACCTGTTTGGGGATGAACCCACATGTGGACCAAGAAGGTTCACCTTGGCATCTGGCTTGCTCTGACCCCGCAGTTCTCTAGTTTCAGTCCTACTGCTTCTGACCTAGCTCCCTTCAGCCTCGGGGACTTCAAGATTGGTCTTCACCCTGATGTCCTCATGGCTCCTTCTCTCATCTCCTTCAGCTGCTTGCTCAGTACTAACTTCTCAAGAAGGCTTTCTCTAGAAAAAATTGCGGAGTCTTCTTCCCAGCTAGCCACCTTTTCTTTTTTCTCCATAACACCAAGGCTATTTAAATTGAATGAGTTAACAGTCAGCCTTCCAGCCACCGAAGTGTAAACTCCCTGAGGGCAGGGATTGCCATCCATTTGTTCACTGCTACCACTCCTGCTCCCAGAGAGTGCCTACCACTGAGTAGGCATGCAATTAATACTTTTTGGAGTGAATGAGATGAGTCACAAATACTCAGAGGCACACAACACAGAAGTCATAAGAGAGAAACTAGAGATGCTTCTTACACCCAGGTGATGCTTCTACTTGAGTTGGAAACAAGTAAAGCAAGCTTTCCATTCATTCAGGTTACCCCACACACACACATGTATAGAAGCTGCCATGGACCAACATTAATCGGCCCAATGACGGCAGATTAGTAGAAGATGAAATGATGAGGTCTGGTTCAGAGGTTCCTGAGCTCTGCCGTGCTTGACCAGCTGACTTAGTAGTCGCTCTGGGTGACTTCACTCTCATTGCACCAGACCAACCGCCTCCTTTGGGAGAGATTACCACACAGAATCCAAGAGGAAGAAAGCTGCAAGACAGGAGAAGGAAGGGGAAGGGGGAGAGTTGGGGGTGGAAGAGAAGGAAGAGGATGGTAACCTGAAGGAATAAGCCTGGCAACTTCTTGGCACACACACACACTCCCTTCACGTACTAATCAAACCAAAGCCGGCTGCCCTGCCACCTTCACTTTCTAAACACCTGCACAGAGATTAAAAGGAGGGGCACCAGCAAGCACTGTGGCGCTCGCCTGTAATCTCAGCTCTCTGGGAAGCCAAGGGGTGGATTGCTTGAGCTCACAAGTTTGAGACCAGCAAGAGTGAGACCCCGTCTCTACTAAAAATAGAAAAACTAGCCAGGCATTATGACAGGCATCTGTAGGACCAGCTACTTGCAAGGCTGAGGCAAGGGGACCGCTTGAGCCCAAGAGAGGCGCGGAGAGACAGCTATTTCTCCACCCTTCTGCCTCTCAAACTTCCAGGTTCAAAGACAAGGACAAGGCTTCAAGAACTGCTGGCAATCACCCCTGCTGGCTGGACAGCACCTATTAAGGGGCCCATATAATGGAAGAAGTGGCGGCACGACAAAGGGCACGGAGCCAGCACACCCTGCGAGCCTACAGCCTCTGGCATGACTGTCCAGGGGATGTCGAAGGAACAAGTGGACTCCAAGAAAGATTGGGAGGAGAAAATGGACAGCGCAGTGGGGAAGGAGGGAGGATTTCGTAGAAATGGGGGGAGACTGAAGAAGACTCGGCAAGGTGGAGGGAGACCCAGCACAGACAATAAGTGAGATGTAATAAAAATAAAAGCACGTTACCTTCCAGCCGTCCCTCTGCACCAAGGGGTGCGGGGTTTCCCGCGGCAAAGCAACAAAAGACGCTCCAGAAACAGAGCAGAGGAACGGAGTTTCTCATCCTTGCCCGCCACACCCCCTCCCCTGAAACAGGAATTTTTTTTAAGCCACCTCTCGGTGTTTCTAGCGATCCGAGCCGGCAGAACCAGAAGCGGGCAGCCCTCTCTCAGCAGGAGGGTGGTGGGCTAGGCAGCGGGAGGTGGAGAAGGTGGAAAATGGAAACTTGGCAGCTCTGAGCTGCGGGCGATGGGAGGGGGCGAGTGTGACCGGGCTCGCCCCAGACCAGATCTGCCCTCACCCTGCGCCTCCTGGGAGCCGGGGCTCGCAGCTGTCACACCGCGAGCTCCCCGAGACGTAGTTTTTTAAAGTATCGGAGTCATCTGACCCATCGCCAGATGGTGATTTACATAATTTATTCCCGGCTCTGGACTCTGATTGGTCACACCTTCGCTGTTGCCTGAACCGAGACTCCCAAAGTTTGAATGAAAGCTCCGCGCGCTCGCCGAGCGGACCCGCACGCTCTGCCTGGTTTTCTGCCCCCGCCCGCTGCGCTGGCGGCCGCGACTCCAGCCACCTCCGCTTCCTCCCAGATCCTCAAGGGGGGGGGGGGGCATTTCCCCAAACCCTGAGTCCGCCGGGGACGCGATTCCCGGGGAGGGGCGGTCGTCCTCCGAGAGTTCAAAGCTACCCTCGACTCTTCGCGCCCTGGGCCGAGGCGTGGTGGGAAAGCCACCTGGTCCTACTCTTGGCTGTTCTCTCCCTCCCCGCTTGGCCAGCTAGGACAGCAACAGGTGCGGTCAGACCGATTGGACAAACCTGGCGGAGGCTGGGCGCCAGGCTGGCGCTTCGCAAAGACCCTGCTCGTCGTCCTCGCTCCGCAACTAACTGCAAAACTCCGGGCGAGCCACCCAGCTTATCCAGGGCCGTTCCCCCGTCCGCGGTCCATGGGTGATGTCTAACAGTTCCTGCCTTTGAGGCGCCCGGCAAGTGGTAGGGGTCTCCGACACGGGAATGAAGGACTAGAGGATTAAGGGCGGCCTTCCCGGAGGTGCGGGGGGGGGGGGTCCTAAGACGCGTGGCCAGCGCCCAGCCCTGGCCGACGCGCAGTAACTATGGGTGAGTGGAATTAAGCGTCTTCTCTCTCTTTTCTCCATCATTTCCCCACTTCCTCTCCCTCCCTTTTTGATCTGGGTATAGAGGCCGAAAAAGGCAAGCGCACGAGGGTGGAGCGTGTCTCACCCTGGAGAGCTGGGGCTGACTTAGGGACACCAGAGGGATGGCTGTCCCAACAGCCCGTGGGGACGCTGCGCCGGCGGGAGAAGTGGGACGCGCCGCGGTCCAGCCTCGCTTCTACCGGAGAGAGCTGGCTCTGCAGAGCGCCACCCTTGACCGCGAATAACCCCGCGGTCGCCGAGAACATGTCCTGCCCCTGACTTTGGAGGAAAACCCCAGCAGCATCCCAGCGCCCCTTCCTCCCCAATGTCGGGGCTCCAGCTTGAGGAAACCGATTTGGAGCGAGTAGGTCTTGTTCCAACCTGTCCTCCTTACTTTTGTTACTCCTGCTGTCAGCGAAGCACGTTCTGTCCCTCCTGTGTGCTATCAGTCTTTAGCAAAAGGCAGGTTGGCTTTATTTTTGAATGTAAAACTCAATGCTATGAGAAGGTAAAAGTCACACCCAGAGATGTCGCTCCTGTCCCCCTCTAGCCCTCTCTCTTCACTGGCAAACTATACAGACGTAAGACAGGGATTATCCTCATTTTATAGATGGGGAAACTGAGCCATGGGGACAGGCTGTACATTTGAAGAAAGTCTCACAAGTCTCTCTCCTCTGTTCAAAGTTTGATTTAGCTAACTGACCTCTAAATGTGAGCCCTTGGCAATCTTGTCTCCATCTCTTTAGTAGCTGAGCAGGGAGTAAGCGGCGATCAAAACCCCACTTCCCCGGCTAAGCTGGGTGGCTCCTAGCACTGTGGAAGGCCAGGGAGGAGGATCACTTGAGGACAGGAGTTCAAGATTAGCCTGAGTAATGTAAGGAGACCTCCATTTCTACAAAAAATTAAAAAGTTAGCTGGGTATTGTAATGTAGATCTGTGGTCCCAGCTTCTCAGAAGGTTGAGGCTGGAGGATCACTTGAGCCTGGGGGTTTGAGGTTGCAAGGGAGCTATGATGTTGCCGTTCCACTCCAGCCTGGGTGACAGAGCAAGACCCTATATATTAAATACATAAATAATCCATTTGCCTGTTCTGAGGACTTGCTCACAGCAGTGGTTCCTGAAACATTAACTAAACACCAAAAGTATGTCTTGGGAACCGTTTGTCACAGGTGAGATATGTTAAGGAAGCTAAGGTATTTTGCAGGTTACCTTTATAGGGTATCCTTGCAAAATCAGTTATCTTGCTTAGGAAAAAGGAAAAAACAGGTTCAACAAACTCACCATCCATTTTTTTTAACTGCTGAGGCCCTGAAACCAGTTAAGTTTTATTGCTAGGTGGTTAGAGTGCCCTCCTGTGTCTCCATTTTTAAATGTCATGTGAGACCTCTCAAAGGACATAATAAAATCATAATCATTTATTAGAATGTATGACATTAGAGTCCAGCATGGTGGCTCCTGCCTGTAATCCAAACACTCAAATCAATTTTGGAACTCTTTTTCTGGAATGACCATCTAGAGCTGTCATAGTATGAGGTCTGACAATTAAGTTCACAAACTCGTCCTACAAAAAGTTTTGAAAGATGGAGTTGGTGCTGTCATCATTGCATAGCACTATTCCAGGGAGTACCTGGAAGGTGTCCGTAGTAACATTCAGCAGTGAAGTATGTAACAGTTTTTCTAGGATGAGTTTGAGAACTTAATTGTCTGACCTCTTATTCTGTCCAAAGCAGCATCCATGAGCTACTTATGACTTTTTTTTTTTAACAGAGTCTCACTCAGTAGCCCTGGGGTTATGTGCTATGGCATTGTAGCATCATAGCTCACAGCAACCTTCAACTCTTGGGCTCCAGCAATCCTCTTGTCTCAACCTCCCAAGTAGCTGGGACTACAGGCATCTGCCAAAAATGCCTGGCTAGTTTTTTTCTATGTTGTAGAGAATGGGATTTTGCTTTGCTCAGGCTGGTCTCAAACTCCTGAGCTCAGACCATCTGCCTCCTAGAACTCCCAGAGTGCTAGGATTACAGATGTGAGCCACCATGCTTGGCCCTACCTGTGGCTTTTGAGCTCTTGGGATGTAGTCTAAATTAACAGCTATAAGTTCAAAAACACTCACCAGATTTTGAAGACTTAGAACAAAAACAGAAACAATGTAAAATATCATATTAATAGCTTCTGTTGATTACGTGTTGAAACAACAGTATTTCAGTCATACTAAGTTAGGTAAAATATATTATTAAAAGTATTTTCACCTGTTTCTTTTTCTTTTTTAGAATGTGGTTGCTGGAGAAATTGTAAAATTACACAAGTGGCTCACGTTATATTTCTATTGGACATTCTAAAGCCTCAAGATCTGACCTTTAACCTAGTTAACACTGTTTTCAAACTTTGGATATTGGTTTCTATTCCTTCCTCAAAGAAACTTTCCCTGACCCTTTGCCTAGATTTCCTATAATCACGTTCCTTTCTTTTGAAGTAATTACCTTGATTTGTAATCAATTTTACTTTTTGGCTATTTGATTAACGTCCGTATCTCTGTTATGGTAAAAGCTCCATAAAAGCAGTAATTGGGATGTTTTTTTCCCCTATTGCTATTCTCTCTGTACCCAGAATAAAGCCTGGTGCATAGAAAGAGCTCGTTAAATATTTGCGAAACAATTAAATAAATGAAGTGTGCTGTGACTCTCCAAGAAAGGGACATAGCGTTCAGCTTTTGCTAAACTGATTTGACCACAGACCCCTCACCCCACAATGCAGAATCCCCAAGCAAAGGATTAGAATTCTCCAGGAACACAGTTTGGGAAGGATCAGGTGAGGAAGGACAGGGAAAGTTAATCTGAGGCTGAATTTAAATCTCTATTTGCAGTATGACTTCAGCAATCTATAGGACAAAGGTAGCTCTGGGTGGCTTTATTTCTGTTTCTTTATTTTTGAAGTTACCCCTCTTTCACAAATCATGAACTCCTATTCCTTAAAAACTTCTGTTCAGAAAACATCTAAAGGAAGCTGAGTAATTCTCCTTGGTAAAGATATGTTCATGCAATTCCACTGATGCTATTTGTGGATGGTTGCATGTTTTTCTCCTGCATAGACAAGATGGCCATAAAGTTCATGTGCAAATGAATGGCACATTTTAAATGGCACATGAACTTTATGGCTCCCTGTATGTAGGCGAGAAGAAGGTAAAAAATTAGGTTTGGGGGAGTTTAAAGGATGAGAAATCAACCAGGCCTAATACATTTCTTTTAGGAGAGGCAGTGTAAGAATTGGCCAAGTTATAGATTAACCCAGAGGCTGAGACTCAGAGAATGGTTATCAGGCTCCATGTACCTCATGCTCCTCCTCTCTCTGCAAAACAAACAAACAAACAGTAGTTCAGCTCGGTGTTATTTTAATTTACTAAGTTAACCATCTTCTCCAACAAGTCCTATACACAGAAGCTATTGATAAATGACCTCTGATGAGATCAGCCAGGGACTTTAAGGTCCTGAGCAGGCCTAGAGATGAGCACCACCCAGGGAGAGGATGGTGGCCAACTCTGGAAGCACAGGTGGGCAGCCCATGTGGCTCAGCTGCCTAGACTCTGTCCTCCCCACCACGTCCACAGGATGGAACAGGGCAAAGCAAAAGCAAGTGGGATGACTGCCAGATGACAGACCAGAGCACTAGATCACAAAATGAAGTTCATTATTAAATGCTCTGGACATTTCCAAAGCTCTGTGAAGAGAAAAAGATTAAACCTGATCCAAAATAGTCTATTTTCTAGCAAAATACATTACAAACAACTGACCCCAGAAAGTAGAGAATAGCTAAATAGACCCTTAACCACAAGAAAAGATTGATAAAATGACCAACTAGGCTATCCACCTTCCCATCCCAGTGTCAAGTTGATATGGTTCCTCTGGCAAATGTCTTTAAACCACTACATTACTGGTTAATCCAGTCTCTCACCTATCTTGGCACCTATGCCAATATAGGAGAACAAACTAGAAACACACACACAAGCTTGCTAAACTGATTTGTTTAAGCTTTGCTAAACTGAGTTCCTGACCACTAATACCAACAGGTCTTTTAATTCTGTCTAGCAATAAAATTAGACTTTGTCTCCTTCTACTCCTTCTTCTAGGCAACTCTTGACATTTCTTCTTTCCCCTCAGACTTCCATAATCTCTCTGATCCTCACCCTCAGCTGCTGACCTAACTTCCCATATTGCATTGGGAAAATAAAAACAATGTGAAGAGAACATCCACAAGCTCCCGTCCCACCCACCCCCTGACTTGTGTCTACACTGTGTCCTCAGCCTCCCTGCCTGCATCTTTCTCAACTCACCCCACCATATGCTATCCCCGCTCATTTACACAGGACACCACTCCAACTATTTTTCCCTCTCCATTGGATCATTTCCGTCAACTTTAAAAAAGTTATTAATTTCTCCATCTTAAAAACAAAATTTTAGTCTCAGCACCTGTAGTACGGTGGTTATGGCGCCAGCCACGTGCACCAAGGCTGGCGGATTCAAGCCCACTCAGCTAAACAATGACAACTGCAACAAGAAACTAGCTGTGCATTGTGGCAGGCGCCTGTAGTCCCAGCTACTTGGGAGCTTGAGGCAAGAGAATTGCCTAAGCCCAAGAATTTGAAGTTGCTGTGAGCTGTAATGTCACAGCATTCTACTGAGGGTGACACACTGAGACTGTCTCAAAAAAAAAAAAAATTTTTTTTATTGGCCAGTCACGGTGGCTCATGCCTGTAATCCTACAATACTGGGAGGCCAAGGCGGAAGGATCCCTTGAGCTCAGGAGTTTGAGACCAGCTGAGTAAAAGTCAGACCTATCTCTACTAAAAATAGAAAAATTAGTAGGACATCATAGCAGGCACCTATAGTCTCAGCTACTCTGGAGCGTGAGGCAGAAGGATCATTTGAACCTAGGAGTTTGAGGTTGCTGTGAGCTATAACACCACAGTACTATAGCTTGGGCAACAGAGTAACACTCTGTCTCAAAAAGAAAAAATACATATATCTACTTCATTTTCCTTTCCAGACTCATCCTGTTTCTCAACTGTCCTTTTACATCAAAATTCATTTCCAGGGCAGTGTCTGTGGCTCAAGGAGTAGGGTGCTGGCCCCATATACCAGAGGTGGCAGGTTCAAACCCAGCCCTAGCCAAAAACTGCAAAAAAAAAAAAAATTCATTTCCAGGGTTGTCTAAGCTCCCTGATTCCAATTCTTCTCCTCCTATTCCCTCCCATCATGCTCCAGTCAGGTTTGGTGCCCATCCCAATCACTGTCAATGTCATCAGTGGCCTCTACCGGGCTATGTGGACCCTGAGCCCTCACCTCCCCCCATTGTGGAACCACTTCTTCCTCCTTGGACCCCCCCTTATGATTTTCCACCTCTCTCAGTCCCCTTGACCCTCATTTCAGGGTCCCCTGCTGACTGACTCCTCCTTGCTGGAGAGCCCCGGGGTTCAGTCTGCAGAACTCTTCTTTTGTTTCTCTAAAATAACTCCTTTGACAACCTCATCTACTCTCATGTCTTCAAAGCCATCTATATGTCATCTTGGATATGTATCTCATGCCTGACCCTCCTCCCTAAACTTGTCTATCCCTTAGAAAGCATCGCAAACATATTAAGTGGGGCACAGTGGCTCAACACCTGTAATCCCAGCACTCTGGGAGGATGAGGCAGGTGGATTGCTTAAGATAGGAGTTGGATACCAGCCTGAGAAAAGTGAGACTCCATCTCTACTAAAAACAGAAAAACTAGCTGGGTATTGTGGCAGGAACCTATAGTCCCAGCTACTTGGGAGGATGAGGCAGGAGGATCACTTGAGCCAAGAAGTCTGAAGTTACTGTGAGCTAGTCTAAGGCCACTGCAGTCTAACCTGGGTGACAAAGTGAGACTGTGTCAGAGAGAGAAAGAGAGAGAGAGAGAGAGAGAGAAGGAAGGAAAGGAGGGAGAGAAGAAAAAAAGAAAGAATTTCAAACATACTAAGTCCAAAACTGAGGCCCTAATCATCCCCCCAAATCTACTCCTGCCTCAGCCTTCCCAGTATCAATAACTAGCAGACAAATCCTTTAATCACACTGGCCAGAAACGAATCAGATTTGACTTCTCCCATTTTTTCTCACCCCATATCCAATATCCAGCAAATCCTAGTGGCTCCATCTTCAAAATTCTTTCAAAAGGGTGCAGCACCTGTGGCTCAGTGAGTAGGGCGCTGGCCCCATATACCCGAGGGTGGCGGGTTCAAACCCGGCCCTGGCCAAACTGCAAAAAAAAAATAGTCAGATATTGTGACAGGCTCCTGTAGTCCCAGCTACTCGGGAGGCTGAGGCAAGAAAATCGCCTAAGCCCAAGAGCTGGAGGTTGCTGTGAGCTGTGACACCACAGCACTCTACCAAGAGTGACAAAGTGAGACTCCATCTCTAAAAAAAAAAAAAAGAACTTCCCTCCAGAACAAAACAATGATGTTCATTCCTCCAAACAGCTAAATTAAAAGTCTATCAAAACAACAGCAAAAAAGCCACACACAGAAATAAAAACAAAAATCACAATCTAGGGGGTCAGCGCACTTAGCAGTCTTTGCTGTGCTAACTGTCCTTCAGCTGACTTTCAAAAAAAAAATCCTAGCTCATCAAAATATACATTTTCCATGTGCTTTTCTAAATTAAAATAATAGTTACAAAAAAGAAAACTTTAAGGGATTCACAACCAACTGCCTGACTTGTTTGGATGCCATGGACAGCATATGGAGGTCAGGAAGGCTCTCTGCAGCACGCATGATTAGAAATATTTGTCTTCTAGGTTTAGCTCTCTTCCAAACAGTGTAAAATACCCACAATTCCAAGTACCAAGGGACACAAACGATTTCCTTTGAGAATTCCACAGGACAATATAGGCTCCCAAGCTGTTCTTCACAGAGTGACAGGGCTTCAGTCAGATTGACACAGTTCCCCTGCATAAAATATTTCCCATCCTGTTTCAATACTTTCATGGAGAAGTCAAGCATTAGTCTGAGAAACTCCCACGTGGAATCTTCTTGCAGAGACGTAGAGATTGGAGCAGCCCTCAAATCAATAATCATGGAGTCAAATTCTCTCCCTTTGCTGGCCTACCTCTTCAGTACTGGAATACAGTCTTATAGAACCTGGTAGCAATCTCCTTTAAGATTGTGAGATGCCACCACACGTTTTTCACATTTATTTCTTACATCCATCAATCACCATTGGGTCCATCTCCAGCATGGTGACCGTCTTTGGTTTCAGTTTGACTATTTCACATAAAATGCCCCCATCTCCACCTCCCAGAGTCAGTGCCTCTTTTCCAGTGTAATCTTTGCCACTGCCCATGATGGCCTGGGTCTATCGCTCTCTGCCAAATTAACATCCCCACTAAGGATGAGAATATTTCCAAATTGCTTCGAGTGTAGAATTTTAATGTTCTGATAAGGCAAATCTTCATCCTACAGCACCTCGTGTATGTCGTCTTCAACTGGGTGCCATCCCCAGTGGGCCAGTATCTGTCGATGGTCGCTCCTCCAACTATGGGTGTAATCGCTTTACCTGCCCAGTGCTGACCTCACTCAATTCTTTCATTCTTTCTTCGACTTTATTTAAAAGACTATCTATTTCTTCTTTGCT